CTTTTCCTCTCTTTGAGAGTACTTCACTTCTGGCCACCCATGCTAGTCTCTCACAATTCACTTATGCCATCCTTTTCAAATTTCCTCTATTTCTGGTTAAGCACCTTTTACCAAAAAGATGAGCCACTGAGCCTCCTTGTATGTTTCAAGAGGTTAAGAAAAACAATACGCAGAATTATAACGCTAGCTTAAAGTAATACGGGTTCAAAAGCAAAATTTGCATTAAATCAACTATAATTCAGACATCCAATGCTGATAAACATGGCTATCCTCTTATACAATGTAAACGGTACCGTGAGAAAAAAAAATGCTTTGAACTTCACCCTTTCAAGTTACTTTTTGGGTTTCAGCTTCACGTTGCTCCATGAGCATATTTCTACAGCTTCTATAGCTAACATTCTTCAAGATATACAAAATCATAGGCAGCTTCAGTAGTACTAGTTCTATTCACAGTGGTAACAGCAATAGAAGCTATCTTCTTATTAGACTACTATTTACTAAGTACTTCATTTCTGTTAGCTCATTTTGTCAGCATAATAATCTTTTAAAGTAGGTATAATACCAAGTTCATTTTACAAAGGAGGAAACTGAAGCTTAGTGAGATTTGTTACTTGCTTTCGTTTTAACCATTATATTATTAGGGTTCTTGCTGGGCTGCACCGCACAGGCCTACAAGCCCTATGCTTGCCCAGCTTCAAGACTGAAGAAAGAGATGGGAGTCAGCAACAGAGACATCAGTTGTTTAAGGGATGGGGGAGCTTACGCGTCTGAAGCAAGGTCCTGGAGAGACACCCCAGCGTGTGCTTCAGAAGACGGGCAGGACATGGCAGCCGTCTTCACTCCCGGAGAAAGGGGAGTTTGCCAGTTATAGGGGAATTGATTTCAGATGGGCTCATTAGTTACCAGGGAAACCAGCAGAGGGGAATGCTCTTCACAGCCCCCTTTAATAATAACAATCACTAGCTGGGGCCTGGGGCAAGTATGTAGGAAGGTCAGTCATATGCATAAGATACAGGTGAAGCAGGCACTGGCCGGGGAGGGGAGGTACAGAGAGCAAGAGAACAGCCATCTTACGTGGCCTGACCATACAGCTCCTAATCACTGTAAAATTTACATATAGATATTAAACACTAAACAGATAAAGAATATTAATACTTCCTACTCTCCAAGGTTAAGAATGAGATTCTACAAACTCAATTGTCCGTACACTGAATCCAGTGGAGATAGTAATAGTAAATGTCACAGTATTTGACTCAGAAATTTAAAAAATAATCTAAACAATGGCAAACATAGTTATTCATCAAAATAAATATTAAAGACCGGGATAATCATATTTTTTTGTAAAACTATAAAATATCAGGCTGCGATCTTAAGTTAGTATTTTATCATCTCAAGAGCACTGAAGAACACTCATGAAAATTCAGGTGCAAGACTGGATTCAGTAACACGCACACACATTCTCAAGAGCACAGCTTAGGCTTACCTGAACTTGCATAATTATACATGTATTGCCTTAATGTTGACACTCTTTAGACACTCTAAATAAAGTTTTGCAGTTCTAAGTTCAGGATACTGGTCAGCATTACATCTGACCTTTGAAAGAGAAGATTATACCAGATCAATTTTATTATCATCTATGGTAAAGGGACAGTCCTCAAAGAAAAAAAAAAAAGATTTTCATTAATTACACCTGAGTTACCCTTCTATTTTTTTCATACTATAATCCAATTAGCAGTTAAGTACAAAGGTTTCTGGGTCATCATCCAAGGGCTCCCTGCAGAAGTGCTGTACAGGTGCCCCTAGCAGCTGTCTAGGAGACTGGGGGTGTAGGGACAGAGATAATGGGCCTCTAGACTATCCTGCATCGTTTCAAGCACAGGATCTCTGCTTTTATCTGGTTTTTTTTGGCCATAAAATGTGTTTGAAGAAAGAGTATCTTTACCTCAACAATCAAAAAAAACATTCTTTCAAACTGAACACTTACCAGTATGTTCTCAGCTGGCTGGAACATCAGATTCTAAGGGATCTTAACACTAATGCCCTTAACTGGAGCTATCTAGCAGGGATTAAGGGCCAATATAATTTAATATTTTTATCTGTAATCTAGATGAAGGAACTAAGATTATAATCTCACATTTCTAATTAATACTAATTTAGGTATGGTCACCAACCAAAATTAAAAACAATCTGATAAATTACATGAAGAATCATTTAGAAATATAATGCAGGTTTAATAGCATTAGGATTTGGGGCCAAGAGCAAACACATCAAATCAAAATGGAGAAGGGATATACAGGCAACAACAGTATAAAAAATAAAAACAAAAATGTTATTGTCTATCCAATAATCATGGTGTTTAAGAGGGGAAAAATTAGGCTAACAGTAGTTGGCTGTATTAATAGCCGTAATGTAAGAATACATCTTCCACTTTATTTGACAATGGACTGGCTCTAATTAGGGTATGCTTTTTGATAGTCTCATTTGAGAAGTCTGTTGAAAAGTTAAATAAGGACTAGTAAAGAACACAAAATACTAAATTATTGGGCTTCCCCGGTGGCGCAGTGGTTGAGAGTCCGCCTGCCGATGCAGGGGACACGGGTTCGTGCCCCGGTCCGGGAAGATCCCACATGCCGCGGAGCGGCTGGGCCCATGAGCCATGGCCGCTGAGCCTGCGCGTCCGGAGGCTGTGCTCCGCAATGGGAGAGACCACAACAGTGAGAGGCCTGTGTACCGCAAAAAACAAAACAAAAAACACAATTATTTCTATGAGGAACAGTTAAAAGAAATTGAAGCATTTACCTTGAAAAAGACATGGCTATAGGGAAAAATTACTGCCCTCTAAGGCTGTTAAGAATTACAATAAATTGTCCTCCTGCCCTAAACAGGACTACTGCAAATGAGGGATATATAGAAATAATGGCAAGACAATTTAATTTGCTATAAGTAAGCTATTTTGATAATAATAAAATTTTTAAATACTAGAATATTCAAGTGGGAGAGGTTATAAAACATTTGTCCCTAGATAGCTTTTGCAGAAAAAAACAAAACAAAAAACAAAACGCATTCCCTGCCCTGGTTCACCTATGCTATTTCACTGGTTTATCTTCTCAAATATCCACCAAGGGATACTGGAAATGTGGGGCTTTCACTCTTGTAAAGCTACCTCCTGAAGTTTATGTGCCTTCTTCATACTTTCAGTGTTTCCCCTCCTGGTTCCACCTGTCCAGCTCTGAATTAATACTAGCCCACTAGTCACCTAGTCCACACAGGTAAGGAATAAAAACTTTTCTAAGAGAAGAAACTATTTGGCAAAGGCACTTTGCAGTTCAGACATAGTACCAGTACAGTACCACTGTTCCCAGTCACATATGAACAAATGCTTCTAGACTGTTCATAAATATATATTGAGGTTTCTCCCTGTATAACTGCCTTGCTGGCAGGTTTTCCCAAGCTCTGAAGTGCTAGATCCCGTGTCTTGACACCTCTAGACTTTCTCTTACAATTTCTTCCATAAGCGTCCATCTGCCCTGCGAGGCTCCTCGACTTCTGTTGGCCCTTTTCCCTACAAGGTCCTCAGTTGGCTCCATTTTTATGAACTGCTCCATGTAACCTATGACATTCAGACCTGTCAGATACTACTGAGGCTCCATCCTTATCTCCTCAGTACAGCCAATTCCATCTCACAGTCTTACTAACAGTTAATTCCAGAAGCCTTCAAATTGAACTCTACTCATACTTACAAATTGCACTCACCGGTCTTACTGATTCTTCTTTCCTTTACTCTGCCTCAGGGTGGATTTTGGCCACAAGAGCTTGATTGGCCCTGCAGGAGGCTCTGGTAACACCTCTGAAGAGAGGTGGCCTTTAACCAAGGGTGAATAGGTGGATAAGCTGGATTTTGTTTCCCTAAGGTAAAATAATTCTGAGGTGTGCTCTACAGTACCCTGCTAGAGTTGCCCAGGCTCAAACCAAAGTTGTCTGCAGTGACTCATAATCGCCACTTGTTGGTTCTCTGTCTCACTTTTTCCTAAACAGACTAATGTTAACACAAATATTTGACTCTGCCTCCAGGTGAACCAATCCTAAAATAGTCTATCTCCATATATTTACATGTGCATTTTCCCAAGAACTTCTACTGTTTTTTTGTTTTTGTTTTTTTGCAGTACGCGGGCCTCTCACTGTTGTGGCCTCTCCCGTTGCGGAGCACAGGCTCCAGACGCACAGGCTCAGCGGCCATGGCTTACGCGCCCAGCCGCTCCCCGGCATGTGGAACCTTCCCGGACCGGGGCACGAACCTGTGTCTCCTGCATCAGCAGGCAGACTCTCAACCACTGCACCACCAGGGAAGCCCTTTTTTTTCTTTTTAATAGCATTAAAAAAATATCCCACATTAACATTTTGAGTAAAAACAAATAATCTTGGTCTGTGTATATGTGGTGTGCCCACAACAAACGACTCACTTTCACACTCAGGAAGATGGTATATATTCTCCCAAATAGACAACTCTCAACCATTTCTTGTTTCTGGCAGTTACAAGTGAGATTTCTTACAGAACACTCCGATTCTATGATCTAGTATGAGAGGGTTCAGCCATAGAAATACCTTGTTTTAAACACATTTTTCTATAAATTTCAGTAGTGATGAGAAAGATCCTCTCCTTTCTGCTCAAGAAAAGAAAGTAAATTACTTTATGTATTGTTCTTTGGCTTTTGATATGCTATGTGACACTTCAGCAAATCCTGCACACAATGATTTCTATCATTTCTGCACATGTGGCAGTTAAATGTGCTCATTTGCATAAGTTACAACCATAAACATAAGTAAAAGTGTTGTTTTTGACAGTAGATCTGATTTTGGGGATACATATGAATTTCTAAAGTTCTAATGGATTTCAGCATTGACGTTACGGCATAGAAATAAAACATTTCTTGCAATCATTCCAGGCATACCAGATGGTGAAAAGTGTTACAATAATTCAATAGAAGGTAAAGCAAACTTACCCGAATCATCATGACTGAACATCTAATATCATGAATTGTATCATAGATCTTTTTTGAGATGTCCACAAACTGATCATCATCAAACACATCCAAAGAGTTTTTACTTAAGGCTTCCAAGGCAACATTCACTTGTGTTACAAATTCCGGAATTACTGTTAAAATGAATAAGAAAGAGAAAATTGTCCTATTTGTATTTTCAGATTTCTGGAGTTTCCAGGAAATGGAGAATCATATTTTTAAACAAATACTTGATTAATAAAATTTCAATTAGTTTTTAAATGTAGGGAGACAAAACATTTTGGCAGGATAATCTTGAATCTCCGAAATACAAACGTAACCAAAGACAAGACAGGCATCGTTATGGAAATGTTTTAAAAGATTATCTTTCTCCTTTATAGCATTTTTGTTTTTACCAAGGCTGGAACCATATAATTATTTCTCATCCGATCCAGTGTAAGCTCAAAGAAATGACAAAAAAGAATTGGTGTGAATAATAGTTGAAATTGTAAACATAAAAATATTTAAAGAAAAAAACATTTGAGTTGCTAAATAGAAGAAAATTAACTAAAGACACTAATTCTATCTCATAGAAATAATAAAACTACTGTAAACTTTCTATTGATAAAATATTTCCTCATCATCAAAAACATTAATGCAAAGAAACTGGTGATCTTATATGCAAAACGTTTCTATGTAAAATAACACAACATTGAATGAGTTTAGGGATATGTCAATCAGTAAGGCCAATCCATAGAATGCCCTTTTTTTTATTAAGATTTCAAAATAGTCTCAATTAAAAACATTTTTCTGACTTTACTTTTAAGGTTAATGATAACAGCATTCATTAACTCTTCAGTAGATTCAAGGCGGTTTTCTAAGTGTTTGCTGTGATTTAAATCTTAAAACAACCCCAGTATTAACCTGGGGTTCATACTTAGTTGAATGACAAAGACACAGAGAAATCAAGAATCTTTCACAGAGTCATTCTGCTAATATGACTTTTAACTACTATACCATATCATATTGAATAAGTTTCTTCCCCATGTGAATATGCAGGATAAAAGCAATTGATTTTTAGAGCAATGATTCCAAACCTGGAAGATACAGTGCTTTATCTAACACAAAAATATTAATAAATATTATTTTTTCCTACATCCAAATCTCTATCTGCATGTATGGCACACCATGTCTTGCAATCCTACCTGCCATGTTCTTGATGTGGGGAAATGCTGGCAATATACCTAGGTACCCATATTTTATCTAGTCTCATCTTTCCTCCACCTACTAAAATGTATCACCTATACCCTAATTCTTAGTTACTATACCCACCAGGATTATCCACTGTGCTTTTCTCCTCTGTCCATTCTCTAGGTGTACCATCCAATAAAAAGGGGCACCTGGCCACATAGGGCCACATATGACTATGACACATTAAATTCATTAAAATTTAATTTAATTTGAAATTGAGTTCTTCAATCACATTTACCACATTTCAAGTGCTCAGTATACACCTATGGCTATTGAATTCTGTTTTGAGAGTGGCAAGATGGAATGTTTCTGTCATACCAAAACTTCTACTGGATAATATTATTCAGTAGTGAGATTTCATGAAATCATTGTCTCACTTTCAGTGAACAGAGTAACAAAGGCAAGGAGAAAGCTAACTCACACCACTTTGCGTAGGAGAAACACTCCTGAACCACAATTCCCACTAATTTAGATGTGACTCCCAAAGTGTATCTCTAATCTAACCTTTTCCCTGAATTCCAGAGCTATAAATGCAAAATGGTCTACTGCAAAATTCTACCTAAATCTTTCATAACACCTCAAATCCATCCTATCTAAACCTAAACACATTCTTTTCTACCTGGAAAGCCTAATTTTCTTGTAATATTTTCTATCTTGACGCCCGGTCATCAAGGAAAAAAACTCAGGTGTTTTCTTTTACCTCCTACTCTTTTTTAACCTCTATATCCAAATGTCCTCTAAGTGAAATCTCCTCTACCATATAAGTACATTTTGAAGCCATTGCCAGTGCAGCCCCACTGCCTCTAGCCATCATTATCTCCTGCTTGAGCCCTCGCCGTAGTCCTCCTGCCTAAGATCTTCTCATCCTTCAGACTCATCGTAAGTATAATCTTATTGACAAAGCCAACTCTTAGCAGTGAGTACAACAGTGTCTGTCACAAAACAGATTCTCAGTAAGTTGTTTCATTAGTGAGTCACATCACTACACTGTTCAAAAATGTTCACTGGTTCCTTGAAACTTTTTCCTGTTGGTATCCCAAGTGTCTAGCCTGGCACATAGTAGATACGTAATTGAATTAAGTAATCGAATGAGTTAATGAATGAATAAATATAAAAACCCCACAAAAATGTAGGTACAAATTTAACATGTTAATCTTGCATTTCAATGTAATTTAGGTTTTGTTCATACTAGGGAATCTCCAAAAATATACTTATGTGGGCTTATAAGAATATTCGACATATTTAATGAGTTAATCTTTACTTTTTATAGTGTTGAGAAAGGAGGAAACTCTTACAGAAATGTGTCCAGTTATTTCACATTTCCTTCAGGTTCCTTCAACTTCTACTCCAAAGAACATGGCAGAAAGGCTCCTAATCACTTTGACATCCTCTATTAACCCTAAAGACATAGATAAATACAAAGAGATGTGGTTTCAAAACTTCTGGTGGGGCTTCCCTGGTGGTTCAGTGGTTGAGGGTCTGCCTGCCGATGCAGGGGACGCGGGTTTGTGCCCTGGTCTGGGAAGATCCCACATGCCGCGGAGCGGCTGGGCCCGTGAGCCATGGCCCCTGAGCCTGCGCTTCCGGAGCCTGTGCTCCGCAGCAGGAGAGGCCACAACAGTGAGAGGCCCGCGTACCACAAAAAAACAAAACAAAACAAAACAAAACCTTCTGGTGGTCTACCACTGACAAAACTCTTTTCATAGTCTTCCCCACTATAAAAAGGTTTTTCTCATCCACCAAACAAGTGTTCCATACAATAATAATTTAACTCTTTCTATCTACATCTTCAGTTTGTTACTAAGTGCCTCTACAACTTGAAACTGCTCCTATCATCTTCCTATGTAAATCTTGGCCAAAAAAAGAGAGACAAGCATCAAATCATGTAAAGGTCCAGTTTTCACTGCCATGTGAGATAATGTGAGAAAGATTTGGTGTATTTTAAGGAATGTATTAAATGTATTAAAATACATTATTTCATTATTGCAACATGATTTCAATTTAACTCCTTTAGGGGCCTCTTACTAATAAACTAATATTAGTTCCAATTAAAATAAAATCTTTGAGAAGCCAATGTTTAATTTCTGAAGTACAGATGGAAACTACTACCTTTTTCACTCTAACAGTATAAATGAACTATTCAAAGCCGGCATGTAATACATTTCTCATTTCATTAGCTTAAACATCAGCTGTGGGTGTGCTTTATTCATACTATGGACATATGGTTGCTTGGATCAGAGTGGGCGTGAAATTTTTTAATGCTTTCAAGAAAATACAAAGTGAGTATAATTAAGTAGCCAGTTAGTGGTAATTTAGAAGGAAAAACAAATTGACAAAGCTATCTCAAATCCATAATCTACCTACATTTCAAGAAAACAAGGTTTACACACAGTATACCATCCATCATGTTATACAATCATTGATCAGAGAGGGGGACACCTTAAACAAATTCACTCTAATCATTTGACATCCCAGGTAGAATCAACTGTTCTGAACTTTGGAGTGTAGATTTATTAAACACAAGTGGCCTTGGAGTCAATACCTTGTCAACTTCAAAGTATCTTGTCTATTTTATACTGCCAACTTCTAAGCCAGTCCTGAACTCGTTAGAAGTCTGTACTTTCTCTACCAACCTTATTCAGAATATGCAGAATAATAATATCCACTGAGTGCTTACTCATCTGGGCACTGTGCTAAGCATTTTGTATGCATTTAATCCCCAAGCAGCCCTGTGAGGCAGGAACTATCATTATCCTGTCCTGATTTCACTGATGAGGAAACTGAGGTCAAACAGCTAATAAGTGGCAGGCTGGTAACTGAGACTCCAGAGCTTGCTGTCCGAGCCCCAAAGCTGCACTGCCTCCTTTTTTTTTTTTATTTTGCGGTATGCGGGCCTCTCACCGCTGTGGCCTCTCCCGTTGCGGAGCACAGGCTCCGGACATGCAGATTCAGCGGCCATGGCTCACGGGCCCAGCCGCTCCGCGGCATGTGGGATCTTTCCGGACCGGGGCACGCACCCGTGTCCCCTGCATCGGCAGGCGGACTCCCAACCACCGCGCCACCAGGGAAGCCCCACTGCCTCCTTTTGATAAGTAAAATACTTTGGGCTTCTTAATTTCAGTGCTCCTGGGGCACTGAAATTAATGTTAATGTTAATTAACATTAATGTTAATGTCAATTAATTTCTAAATTAATGTTAATTTTCTGGCAATAGAGCCAACTTCTTCCAGGCCTTGAGTCTCACTCTGGTACTAACTCAGGAATATTTTATCCCTTCTCATTTCTTGCTAGGTTTATGAAGTGCTTTTGAAAGTAGGTAAGGGTACATAATTATTGGATTAAGTAGGTCAGAAGAAAATCCAGACTCATTATAGGTAATCATCTCCAATGATGTCACTGAATTATGTTTCTATCATTAATAAAATGCAGATTAAAATATTTCTAATCATACTATTATCTTTGAAAATTACCAATGATAGAGGTATTTGGCTTTGAAAAATCACATAATGCTAAGTCACCATTTCTTTACATGATGCTAAGTAAGTGGGAAGAAATTATAGCAGAAAGTGCAATTAAGCATATGCATGACTTCTATAAATGCCACCTACTCTTCAGTTTTTAGATTGATTGAACAAACATTGATTATCAAGATTCATACCCTTTTTATTTAAGGAAGCCAAGAGTATGTAACAGTACTGTGTTTGGTCCCTCACTGTCAATAACTGGTGAGAATTTTTCCTTTTTTCAAATGAGAGAATCAAGGATCAGAGTGAGTGCTTTATGACACATCACACAGTTAACAAGAGCCATATTGGCCTCACTATTCTACTCTACCCCTACCTTTCAAACATCTGGAATAGCTCAAAAAAAAAAACCCTAAGAAATAAAATAACAGAGAGAAAAG